TTAACCATTCTGTTGATGGGCATTTAGGCTGTCTCCATCTTTTTGACATGTCTCTTATAGATAGCATATTGAAGGATCCTATTTTCTTATCCATTCTGCTCTTTATGTCTCTTAACTAGTACATTTAATCTATTTGCATTCAGTGTAATTATCAGTAGGTCTGGATTGATTGTTGTCATTTTCCTGTGTGCTTTTTTGTGGTACTGCTGGATTCTTTGTTCCACATAATTTTCTATGCTGAGTTCATTTTATTTGTGGGTTTTCTTGTCATTTTTATTTCTGTTATGTTTATATTTACTGCACATTTCTGATTTTCCATTTTTTATTTCAATTTGCAGGTGTATTGTTTTCCTTTGAGATTACACTGTAATCTATTAATTTTTCCCTTGTTTAAAACAGCTTGTTTTATATTGAAATCTACATAACTTCCTTGCCATTGGAAAGTCTGTATCTGCACTATTCCCTCTTTCTGTTTAGTAGTTGACTTTATTATTCATTTGATATCACTGGTTCCCTCTTTTCAGTCTTGTAGGGTTTTTGTTTTTTTTACTTTAAATACTTCTATATCTGTATTAGATTGTTGTTGTTGTTAAATGCCATCGAGTCATTCTGACTCATAGCAATCCTGTGTAGAGTCTCTAAGGAGTGGCTGGTGAATTTGAACCGCTCACCTTGTGATTCAAACTGACTTTGCGGTCCAGTGCTTTATCCCACAGTGCTGCAGGACACAAATTGGTGTTAAGGAGCTCTGGTAGCATAGTGGTTATGAGTTGGGCTGCTAACCTTAAGGTTTAAAACAAACAGTTTAAAACGAACAGCTGTTACATGGGAGAAAGAGGAGGCTTTTTGCTTCTGTAAAGATTTACAGTCTTGGAAACACTTTGCAGGGTCTCTAAGAGTTGGAACCGACTCCACAGCACACCGTGACCTCCAATCTCTACTGGAGTCCTGGTGTGACATTGTGGGTCAATGTGCTGGACTGCATGTCAGTTTGAACCACAAGGTCAGCGGTTCAAGCTCATCAGTTGCTACTTAGAAACCATATACAGAGTCGCTATGGGTCGGAACCAACTTGATGGCACTTCACAACAATGTCTAGATTGAGTTCTGGGTGGTGGTGTCATGTATGGTAATCTCAGGCTGTCTGCTGGTTGTTGTTGGTTCTCAGTCCAAAGAACACCCTTTAGCATTTTTTGTAAAGTTGGTATTACAAATTCCTTTAATTTCTGTTTATCAGGAAATGTCCTAATTTCGCCTTCATATTTGAGGGACAGCTTTGCTGGGTATATGATTCTTGCTTGGCAGTCCTTTTTCTTTCCGAGTTTTGTATACGTCATTTTATTGTCTTCTTGCCTACATGGTTTCTGCTGGGAAATCAGAGCTTAGTCTTATTAGTTCTCCTCTGTAGGTAACTTTTCATTTTTACGGAGCTGCTCTTAGGAGTCTTTCCTGGTCTTTGGTTGTGGAAAGTGTGATCATATGTCATGGTGATTTTCTTTTGGGATCTATCCTGTTTGAGGTTTCTTCAGCTTTTGTATGCTTATCTTCTCATATTTCATGATGTTAGGGAAGTTTTCTTCCAACAACTCTGTGCTTGTCTCTTTTTGTTCTGGAATTCCAAGTTATGTTCTTCATGGTATTTCTCATAACTTTTAGGCTTTCTTTGGATTTTTTCATTCCTTTTTACTGATTGTTCTTCTAGCATATTAATATTGAGAGATTCCTCTTTAAGCTCACTAATTTGGGCTTTTATTGCGTTACAGCTATACCTTAGCCCTTTCAATGTATTGTCTATTTCTGAGATCTTAGTATTAATCTCATGGATTTCTAATTGCAGGTTTTGTTTTGTTTTAAAATTTGCATTTATTTTGTCTGTTTGCTCTTGTAGCATTTTCCTGAATTCTTGTAAAGTTTTTATTGTGTTCTTGCTTTCCTTGATCTATTGATCATTTGAAAGTAGTTAACTGCAAGATGGGCGGTTCAAGCTCACCAGCTGCTCCTCAAAAACCCTATACAGGGTCATTATGGGTCAGAACCAACTCGAGAGCACTTCACAACAACAACAAAAAGAATTTTCTTCCTCAGAAATGTCTGTGTCTTGGTCATTTGTTTTTTCATGTGAGCTAAAATTGTTTGTTGCTTCCGTGGCATTGTTGGATTGTCGTATTTGTAAAAACAAACCACGCAGTTGTTGGACCTGGAGAGGAGAAATCTCCAGGGAGATCCTGCAATTCGAGGGGCTCATGAGGTGGTTGTGGAAGGGATGTGACAGCAGAGTTCCTGGTCCTAGATGAAATAAATGCTTATGGGCCTCAATATTATCTATGTCCAAGGAACTCAATCTGGAAGTCGTTCGTGGGGGCCTTTGATGGAGCTCTTTTCTGTTTCTGTTCAGACCACAGGGAAGTTTGGGGCAGTGTGACTGGTTTAATGCTGATCTGGTGGCTCTGTAGATTTTGTAGGTCTGGAATCAAGCCCACATGAATCCAGGCACCAAAGTGGCACAGCCAGCTCCCAACTCTCCTGCTTGCATGACTCCCAACCACACAGCTCCAAGTTCCTGGAGAGCAAGCTCTGTGCTGCGGGTAGATGAGTTTGGGAGCTGGCCACACTTCTGGTCACCAGGGGAGTGGGGGGCGTGGATAAGGAAACATATCTTTTCCATTGCCTGCTTGAATCTGCTGTACCAGGCCTCCCTTTAGTGCCAAAATGGCTCACAAGATCTGGTCAGCCATTTACCAGTCAGTCTCCCTCTGTCACCATCCTTGCTCGGCCTCTTCTCCCAGTGAGCACTCCATCCACCTAATTTTTCTTCTGAAGCTCAGGATGTTAGAATTTCCATCTGTTTAATTTTTCTCTCGTATCTTTGTTGTAGAGGGTCCAGTGTGCATCTGCCTAGTCCACCATCTTTCTGGAAGTCTCCCCTGATTTTAAATTGAGTAATAATATATCCTGGTGGGACAGTGGTTCAGCACTCAACTTTTAACTAAAAGGTCCATAGTTCAAACCCACCAGCTGGTCTACATAAGAAAAGTGTTGGCAGTCTGCATTCATAAAGATTTACAGCCTTGGAAACCTTACAGGAAGTTTTACTCTGTCCTGAGTTGCTATAAGTTATTACCAAATTGACAGCAGTGAGTTTGGTGCCAGACTATACATCCATGTAACCACCACCCAGATTGAGAAATAGAGCATGTGTAGCATCTCGGAAATCTCCCTTATGCCCCCATTCCCAATCAGTAAACTGTCCCTGCCCCTAGTAGTAACCACTGTTCTGAGTCACGTCACTGTACATAGTTTTCCTGTTCTTAAATCTTACATAAATGGGATCCTACAGTATACATTGTATTGTGTTTAGTGGAAGCTATGTTTAATGTTCTTTCCAAACAGAAACTTGAGGAGAAGCTAGAGTTCTGGATGGAGAAATTTGATAAGGACACAGAAATGAAACAGAATGAACTAAATGCTCTCAAAGCTGCAAAGGCCAGTGACTTAACACACCTTCAAGACCTTGCAAAGCTGGTAAGGAAGTAGAACCTCATTAGTGTTCAGCTGCTTGTTGAAGAGTGACAGCTACGTTACAGCAGTGGGGCAATACCACTTTAAATCAAAGAGTGGATGTGCACCTGTAAGCCAATGGGACGTTTTTACCTAACGATGGTAATGATAACTGCAGCAGTTAACATTTATACTCGTGTGTTCTGTACCAGGCAGTCGTCTAGCATTTTATATACACTTCAGTTAGCCCACAACCACTCCTTGAGATATAGGTACTATTAATACTACTTTATGGTCTCTGAAGACAATTTGTAAATGATGATTTCTAAAAAACTTTTAATTCTAAGTTCACCATTGCATAAGTGTTATTGTTGTTAAGTGCTGTCGAGTTGGTTCTGACTCATAGCGACCCTGCATTGGGTTTCGGAGGAGCTACTGGTGAGATTGAACTGGCAACCCTGCAGTTCAAACCAGCTTTGTGGTACAGTGCTTTATCCTACAGCACCACATCAGGGCTTCTAAGTGTAGAACTCCCCAGGTTTCTGCCTGCTGTATGTGTATATTCTAGCACACTTGTTTATATATATATATAGTCACATTATTTAAGGTTCACAAATCACACATTAAACTATCTCATTTTTATGAAAGAACTTAAAAATTGAATTTGAATTACTCAAACTGAAAAAATGTTGCGAGCCTGTGAATATAATGTTAGTATGTGAATATTTGCAATCTAGGAATTCCTGTGTCTTTTTTTTTTTTTGGTTCATCTTTAGATTTGTCATGCTTTATTTAAAATTTTCTATGAAAAGTTTATGTGGGCTGGCCCACAGCTTAGCTGTTGAGCACTGTGAACCCATGAATAATGCCTGTCTTGCAGCTAAGGGAGTACGAACAGGTCATCATTGAGGATCGGATGGAAAAGGAGAAGTCGAGGAAGAAGATAGAACAGGAAGACTTGGAATTAAGGAGCGTCTTAAAGGTAGAAAGCCCCAATTAACACTGAGGAGCAGTGAGCAGTTCATGATCAACCACAGAGCAGTTTCCCACAGATCTGTGAGGAAGCACAGTCTCTTACTGGGATTTGTCAGTAGTCAGTCCAGGGTGCAGACACAGTTACATTGCCTGCTCTTTATCTGGGAGAAAAAGAGGTGCTTAGTGGTGAAAGTAAAACCTAGAATTTGTACCTTGAAGTCAAATTTAAGAATACTACTTTTAACTCAAAACAGCACATGACCTTTTTTATTCTTACTGCTTCTTAAAATCCTGTAAATTAATCATTGCAGGCTATCTGTTAGATCCTGAAAAACGTTGGTTATCTTTCTGGCTTGGAAATATTCACCAGAGTCTGTGACCTGCCCATTTCATTACCACTAATAAACACACGGTAGCGTAGTGGTTACGAATCGGGCTGCGAACCTTAAGGTCAGCGGTTCGAAACTACCAGCCGCTCCGCGGGAGAAAGATGAGGCTTTCTACTCCCCTAAGGATTTACACCCTCGGAAACCCTGTACAGGGTCGCTATGGGTCGGAACCGACTCGACGGCACTTAACAACAACAACAATAAACACACACACACACAAAGTAGTATTACTGCACTGCTGGTGTGGCTCTGTGGGTTAATGCACCAGACTGCAAAGCCATTTGAACTGCAAGGTTGGTGGTTCAAGCTCACCAGCTGCTCCTTGGAAACCCTGTATAGGGTTACTATGGGTTGGATCTGACTTGATGGCAACAGTACACAAAAGTTTGTATATTTAAAATACCTCAACATATTTTCTGAACTAAATGGAGGTAAGCAATTCAGAAAAAATGTAGAGGTATTTTAACTTTATACAAACTTGTGTGTATTGTTGTTGTTATGTGTCGTGGAGTCAGTTCTGATTCATAGAGACCCTCTACAGGGTTTCCAAGGCTGTAAATCTTTACAGGAGCAGAAAGCCTCTGTCTCCCACAGAACAGCTGGTAGTTTCAAACTGCTGACCTTGCAGTTCACAGCCCAATTCGTAACCACTATGCAACCAGATCTCCTTTGTGTGTATTAGTGGTAATGAAATAGACAGGCCACAGACACTGGGGAATATTTCCAAGGCAGAAATATAAAGTAAGATGATCTGAAATGGTTATTCAGAGGATTGTCTACAAGAGGGTTACTTGTTAAGATCTTACTGTGTAAACTGTAGTCTGGGTTCTATATTGAAGAGTAAAGTATGCAAAATCCAAATTAGGAGAGATTTAGATGTATAATTAACAAGTATTTCTTGAGTTTCTGTTATATTTTCCATTTGTCAGGGTTCCTTGATTTAGAAACAAAATGTACGAATTTACAGACCATCTTGTTTTAGGTTTAGAATAATTTTAGCTTACTAGCCCAGATAGTATTCATAACAGTAATATTTACAACTGAGATATTCACGAGTTAATTTAAAAAAAAAGAGATTGGTACTTTAATGAGTAAAGATATTAAATACACCAAGAAATCTTTTGAAGTTACAGGTTATTTTTTGATCAAGAGCTTGCTCTTGCCCTGGTTTATTCCTTCTGGATGAAATGGTTCTAGAAATCCAACCTTGGGTTTTTACAAAGGGCAGGAGCACAAATAAGTTAGGGTTCTAAGTGTAAAGGAAAAAGTGGCCTAGTCAGATTCCCTTCATTTTACACTGGTTAAATGTACTCAAGAGCACATGGCTTCAGGCTCTCGGTTCTGCACAATAGCATCACTGGAATGAACTTGCCTGACCTCGTCCATGTCCAGAGAGAGATCACTATCCAGACAGAAGTTAATTGACCTAAGAATAATTGTCTTATATGGAAAGGATGTCACGCATACTACAAGTTTCACCTGCTCCCCCCCTTCTCTTCCAGCTCCAAGCCTGGTGGCGTGGCACTGTGATACGGAATGAGATTGGGTCTTTCAAGATGCCGAAGAAGGATAACAGTGATAGCAAGGATTCCAAGGGTAAAGGTAAAGGCAAAGGCAAAGACAAGGAGAAACGGAGAGGCAAGAAGTGACCAAGTTCTCTTTTGTCTTTTCCTCTGACAATCTGGAGATGGAGAAGAGGACTTGAAGAAAAGAAACATCTTTAAGTAGAGCAGATAACTCATTTTATTGGTTTTTTCATATATATTCCCAGGTGACACCTGGCTATCTCACTTTGTTATATTAGTTTTTAAGCCCTGAATTAAGATTAGCCATCGATCTAGGGCTTCCTCATATTTTGATAAAATCTTGGTGGGAATAAGTGTTTTGTTTCCAGAAGCCTTCTACAGATTCTTCTCACTCTGTATTACCAGAAAGTACATTAAGGGTTTAGTGACAGTGGTGCATTAAAGCTTCTGCTATTCCTGTTCAATTCTGTGACCCTATCTAACTTCTCTATAGTGAAAACATTCCTTAGGAGCAAAAGTAATGAAGTGTTCAGTAGCAGTGATTACCAAATGGTGTTTGTAAAGTGTCCAGCATAATATATACACAGTAACATGTTAATAAATGTTAGTTTCTTCCCTTCTTTTAGATTTATTATCATTTTATAAACAAAGAGCTGGGATTAGTTTTTATTGGGCAGGGGTAAGACATGGAATGGGATAAAATGTAATCTATCCTGTATTAGAAGCTGCTTTCTGGGCAACAGGTAGTGTACGTGGCTGATAGAATGACAACCACAGACAGTAAGGATGGTGGGAGTATGTGTGTGTGTGTGTGTTTTAGGCTCATTTGAAGGTATTTTTAGTGAGACACAGCACTCTGTACCTGTTGCTGATTCAACAGTTCCCACCGTATAGGATATTATGACTAATAGGTAAGGCATGTAAAAATACCTCATGTATGCCTGATCCATAGTAATAGCTGATTAGAATGAATCTCCTGGGTCATTACTGCTTTGGCTTATCAGGACACTAAAGCTCTCTTATATATAGCACAGCTGATAATTTCTGAAAGTTGTTGTAATGTGTCACATATATTTCATGAGTTAAGCCTTATGTCCAACTCCATATTTAGGGCCACCCTGATACTTGAGAGTAAATCTTATCTCATGAACCCATTATGTGGATTCAGTTTCTATCATGTTCCTTCAAGGAATTAAAAACCCATTTCTCGATTCATCTTTTTGACAAGGAAATCATGCTTTAGGTGTGTACATTTTCAAATCAGCCTTTATTTCATGCTACTGAAGTACTGGTTTTTATTTAATGTCAATGTGTAAGGTAGTATACAGGCAATTAAAAATAGCATACATGATATTGACATATTTATACTTACTTAGACATTATGTAATTATTTACAGACATACAAATATAAGACAATGTTTAAAAAATCTAATTACATGCTTACAACATTTCCAGAAATAAGATGAAATATGATGTAAACCATTTCACTGCAATATGTATATAAAAAGGCTTCTAAATACCCATGTTTTCCTTCATTTCTATAACCATTTCAGTGCTTAGTTTAAAAAAAATTCATCAGACTCTTCAGCATAGTCAGTTGCATATTAGTCACTGTAGAGCTGCAGCAAGTCAGAGAAACCAAACTCCTCGATTAGGGCTACGGTTGTATTTAGCAAGCTATTAAAGAAAATGACCTATTGCTTAGCATTTTCCTACTCTGGGGCTAGCCAAGAATTAAGTTCTCTCCTTCCAGGGCTCATAGAAGCAGCAGTCAAAAACTCAAATGATGTTTTGCACTGGGCAAATCTGCTGTAAAAGACCTCTTTAAAGTGTTAAAAAGATGTCTACAATCACCTCATATGCATGTGAAAGCTGGACAATGAATAAGGAAAACCAAAGAACTGATTCATTTGAGTTGGGTCAAGTAGGTATCAGTGAAAATACGGAAGACCCTCAACAAGATGAAATGACAACAGTGTCTGAAATAATAGGCTCACAAGTAGGAATGATTGTGACAATGGTTCAGGATGGTGCAGTGTTTTATTCTGTTGTTTATGGGGTTGCTGTAAGTTGTAAGCAACTCAATGACATCCAACAACTTCCATGATTTGTGTTCAGACCTAGCTATCCTAAGACAAAATTGGTTTAGAGTGCTAATAAACACACGAGTTTGAGAGCCTGGGCACGTAACTGCTTATTAAATGCTCTGTAGTTGACAGGGGCTCTGCCAGTGTGGGCACTCGGCCTTTCTTCACTCACACTTTCAGTGCTGACCTGGATGGTCAGGTGGAACTGATACAAGGGTCAATTTCATCTTATTCTGGGGTGGTGGTGGTGTTGTTAAGTGCTGTCGAGTCAGTTCTGACACATAGTGACCCCGTACAGGGTTTCCAAAGAGCAGCTGGTGAGCTTGAATTGCTGACCTTGTACTTCAAACGGACATTACAGTCCAGTGCATCAACTTGCAGTGCCACACAAGGACTCCAGGTGGCTGGATACAGGACTGGCATTTAGTGTTTTGTTGTTAAGTGTTGTTAAAATTCTTTCGACTCACAGTGACCCTGTATAGCATTTGAGCAGAAAGCCTCATCTTTCTCTCATGGAGTGGCCGGCAGGTTCAAACAGTGGACCTTGTGGTTCTCAGTCCAGTGCTTATCGTATGGGGCTTCCTCATTTCCAGTTTAATGTTTGTTGTTGCCAAGTGCCTCGAGTCAGCTCTGACTCATAGTGACCCTGTGTAGGGTTTCTGAGGAGCAGCTGGTGAGTTTGAAATGCCGACATTGCGATTCAAACCGACTTTGTGGTTTAGTGCTTATCCTACAGTGCCACACCAGGACTTTGCTTAATGTTTGCTGTTGTTAAGTGCTGTTGAGTTGGTTCCAACCCATAGCGACCACGCATAGGGTTTCCAAGCAGCAGATTGGAGCTTGAACAGCTGAGCTGGTGGTTCAGACCAACTTTGCAGCGACACATTAACCAGCAGTGCCACACCAACACCATTCCAAGTTTACTACTGGGTAAAAACTTACAGTTTGAAAACACAACAGCTGTATGGGTCATGTGGGTCTGTCTGGTGCTGTCAATGTAATGGTCCTGGCTTGAAACATTTATTAAGACACTGTTGACATTGCTGTTTTTGTTCCCTGAGGGCCCTGAATCTTTGGGTTTTTGAGTTCAGATGTTCTATCATTTTAAATGAGGGCAAGGTGTTCTGATAAACTTTTTTTTTTCTCTGCCAGACAAGGCAAAAACATTATTTTAACTAATCAATGTGAATTTATCCAAAACTTTTAGATACTTCATTTACATGATAAGAATAGGAATAATTTTATGCTAAAATGCATGCATTGATAAAGACAATCCAAATCCAAAACCTAGGTACCTAGTACCTTCACTTATTTGGTTTGCAAAAGTAGTGAATACCAAAGATATCACGGACAACCAAAAGGGGTTTAAAATAAACAGAAAGAAAAACCCAAGTGGCTTAACGCTGAATAAAGGGCTCCTTTCTTACCCTGAGCCCCTGACCCTTCACTCCACCACATTTACTATGAGGGGGCTTCCAAAGTTTGTAGAAAAGTGGAGTTAAAAGATAATGTCATCTTCCACGAATTTTTTCAAGCTCCCTTATATATAAGGCACTAGTGGTGCTACATGGGAAGCTAGCTGAAAAGGTGGGAAGTTGTTTTTAAAATGCCCTAAGTGCTTTAATTCCCCTGTGGGAACTGGCAGTTGCTCTGTGGAGCCAATGGCCGTGCTGCAGAGTGGGTCTGCGAGCAGCCGGAGGATTTAGAGCCTGTGTCTCCATACAGTGCTGGCACAGCAGCATAGGTGGTGGCCGGCTGCAGCTGGGGGAGGCCTAGGACACTGAGCTGAAGTACAAATGCGTTTGCTGTGACGTTTTATTATGCAAAACCTCATGCTAAAGGCTTTCTGTATTTTTGTTTTGCCTTTGACAAAATAGTCCAAGTAGCCATACATAATAAACCTTTTGATTTTAAACATGACTGAAAAAACAACTTAGGACATTGCCCCCAAAACTATGTAAGTACAAGCTAAGAAGAGTGGTCTCCAAGATATGAAAAACACCTGGAACGTTTGGTGAAAAAATTCAGATTCCCAGGTCATGACCCAAACCTACTTACTGAGAATCTGTATGTTAGCAAATGCTCCAGGAAGAGTCTAATGAACAACCTAGTCCCCAAATCAGTGGAATGGTCATGTGTTGGAAACAGGTGAAAAATAATAGCATGCTGTCCCTTCAAGAGAGCCAAACAGCTTTCTGAGGAGATATTCTTCCTGGTGTACGAAATAAGCTTTATCTCTAAAAAAGCACAGCCAGTTTAGGCTTTGCTGAAGGACTCTCAATAATGACTGAATTTTTAACAAATTGACAGAATTAACTTTCATATGAGAAAAACCAACTGGTGTCTTGATAAAAAAAAAAATTTCAGTGGACAATGATAGAACCTCCCCTAAAATGGAGAAATGAAGCAAAACATTCCTGGTTAGGAATCATGGGAACAGTCCCTTCAAAGAATACGTAAGCGCTGTGTGTAAGCAGGTGGCTGGCAGCAGCAATCATGATGTCCTGATCCTTGTTTTGGCCAGGTCAAGGCCCAAATCCCGGGGAGTCCTTAAATAGCAGATAACTGGTGCTGCTGTTGCTTGGGCGGAGCTAGTTCCAGGAGAGCCTGGACCGTCACTGCAACCTGGCTCAAACCTTTCTCTTCTAAAATGTGGAGAGGCAAACATAATTGTTCCTGAAATGGGACAACGTAACAAAAACAAAAGAGAAAGTACGATGAACATCACCAAACTGAAAGGAAAAAATAAGCAACCCTTCTCCCCTCCCCTCATAATAATCTTCTGAGATAGGAAAAGTCAGTACCCCGAGAAACTGATTTCTATACATGTGAGTTACACGGAGAAAAGATACTTTCAGTAGTACTGGCATCAAGTTCAAATTAGTATGTTCCAGGGACTGTTACTTTATTCACTAATACAACTAAGAGGACATACAAGTCATTTTGAAAATTGGAAAATAGACAAGTTGCATATACTGATACATACACACCACAAGGAAGAACAGAACACTGTGGAATGAAAACAGCACCCTTCATCCCTGATACATACAAGGATAATGAGGCAGGTGAAAACTAGAAAAAAAGTTCCAGGTTACCAGAAGGCTCAAGTCTGTGAGAGGGAAAATTTTAGGAGAAAGCACATAGGAAATTACATACCAGAGGCTGCAAAATGGTTTCATGACAGGATTCAGATCGCATAAGCAAGGAGTGCCCGCTCTCTGCACTATAATCCTGATTCGGAAACCAGGAGGGAGCATACTGAAGAAACTGAAGAGCAGCCTGAGCACTTGAGGTGAATGCATTTAGAGAAACTTTCCCCTATTTGGATAATTTGTGGGAGAACCAGTATGAACGAGGAATTACAGAATAAAAAAAAAAAGGAACATCTTAATTCCCACATACAGAAAGTGTTTACACGTTTAAGGAAGTTAAAATATTTATGTCTTGTCTCTATCAATTCTTTTGGTTAGTCCTGTATAAGATTATAAGGCAAATCTTATAAATAACACTTTTTTTTTAACTGTAAGACTAAATATTCAGAAAGACATCATTACTGTCAGAAAGGATAAAAAAACAAAACAAAAATAACCCAGTTGATTCTGACTCATAAGGATCCCACAGGACAGAGCAGAACTGCCCCACAGGGTTTCCAAGGCTGCAAATCTATGGAAGAAGACTGCCACATCTTTCTCCTAGATGCGGTGGGTTTGAACTTCCAACTTTGATTAGCAGCTGAGTGCTTAAAAACTGGGACCACCAGGGCTCCTTCACAAATTAAAGGTAGAATTACAGTTCTGCTGAGAGAGACTATACATATTTATTAAAGAAGAAAATGGATTCATCTCTGCTTTATATATTCTTTCTCTGACACTATAACATAGTGTCACTAAAAAGCAGAGACGAATCCAGCTACCTTCTTTAATAATAGTGACACTATCTTACGTTGGAGTCCTGATGTGGCACTGTAAGATAATGTACTGGAATCACAGGCTTGAACCACAAGAGCAGTGATTTAAGCCCATCAGTCAGTGCTCCCCAGAAACCCTACATAGGGTCGCTTGAGTCAGAATCGAGTTGATGGCATTTAACAACAACCACCACCATCTTCTGTTACTAGGAAGGTTTCCAGAAACAGATGCAATTAAAAATATAACAAGTATTTATTTTTGATGCAGTTATTGGTACTTATGCTTCTTAATTTTTTAAATACTTATTTTAATAAGGTAACTACAATCTTTTTTTAAAAAAAACTGCAAACTTCTGATCTCATAAAACTATAAAACTAGCAACTTTGTATGAATACTTTTTATTTCAACTGTAAGAATAGATTAATTATATGGAAAATGATCTGTAAGGTATTTTGCTTTGAAGAGACTTTTTTTTCCTCCAAGGTAGATTCCCTGCTCTCTTCATGGTAGGGTCTATGACCTTTGAGCCCAGTAGCTTAGGAATTCCCTTAGAGGCCACCTGCTGTCTAGATACACACTGAATTTCCAGCCAGTTTACAGGGAATACTGAGCACTGTCGAGGGAAAGCACCATCACGAGCCCTATACCACAAATGATTTCAGGTCTTGCTTTTTCTGCTAGGTGTTTTTTTAAAAGGGACAAAACTCCACAAAACTCTGAGAATGATCACTGACTCAGAGACATTTGAAAAACAAAACCAACCCAAACCCCAATTACTGAAAGGCACTCCGACTGTGTAAAACTGGAGTTTTCATCACAGTGTCAACGTTGCAGCATTAACAGGGGACAGTCTATGGAGGAAAACCAGAGCAATCAGATCCCCAGCTGAGTTTTGCAATGGGAATATCAAGTTTCAAATTGTTCCTTATGATCTTTCATACTTGAGTTCAGTTACTCAGTTTTGTTAGCACAGTTCAGGAGATTCCTGATTGTTCCAGGAATATCATTTTTGAGAACTAGTATCTAGTATCTATTATAAAGTAGTTTTAAGCATTAAGGTCCAGAAGTTAGTATACTAACCATTCTGTAACAGCAAAATTCAATGTCTTGGATACAGAACAGAGACCACTATCCAATATCTTACCTGCTCTACTAACTACAAAACACAAGCTCATCTATCAAAATGATTCTAAAACACTGGAAATTACATAAGTTCCATTTTAAATTCTAACTAGGATTCTAGATGTGCATCTCAGTGACAGTCAGCTCCAGAGATGCTCCTTGTATACTGTTCTAAATGTACACACTGGGCTCAGAATAGGGACCTTTGGACTAAACATTCTAACCAAATTAAAATTATTAAGATCAAAGAGCCAATGTTTCTCAAATGTCCCTACAGTCAGTACTATGCCTGCCAATAAAACGAGGGTTCCGATGTCAGGGTCCAGTCCATGCAGAGATGTAAGAGGCCCCTGAAAACAACCAGGAAGGGCACAAATATTTTCTTTATAAGCAGCTGTTGAAATTGTTGAGCCACTCAAATTGTTAACACTTAAGGTGTGTTGAGGCAAGGAAACATGGTCAGAGGGGAACATTCTGTCATCTGGGACAAAAGTTCCAATGCCATATTCTAAATACAAGCTGATGATTGTATCTAAAAATACTATAGCATTTAGCACTTAAAAAAAAAAAAAAAAGTCAGAGGCCAGGAGAATGATCAGGAGAAAAATTGCTGGTCAATGACTCTTTTTTTTTTAGTGATCAGAAAACTTACTAATGTGATGGGCTGCTCACTGATACGTGAGGAAGGACTGACCTCCTTTACTGGATAGCTCTTTGATGAATCAAAAATAAAAAGCACATATACAAATAATACAGTATTAGGGTATAAATTGTACTGAAATGCAATCTTTCAGCTAGAGGGGAAAATCCAGTAGTAAAACATACAGAGAGTTAACATTAAAGTACAATAAAATGCCACAAAACCCAGAAGGTGGACAGACAGAGAGACAAAACTGGATTCTTCTGAATGTGCCCCAAGAGAAAGTAGTGTTTCAACAGTTCTTTTAACGCTGAGGTTTAGCTGAAGGATGTCGGAAGGGGAACAAAGATTGTCCTGTCCAAAGTGTGAGCAGGAAAGGAAAACAGAAAAACAAAGTCAGTGGATCAGAAATGCAGATTTAAGAATTCAAAAGTATGATTATCTCAATCATATTCTAAGAAACATACCTTATAACCTTTTTACTATGATGAATGAAAACAAAAGTCTGAAAAACAAAACTAGAAAGACTCCTCTATGTTTTGAGCTTGATTTTACAACTAACCCACAGAATTAAACTGGCTTGTTGGTGACAGTTCTGATTATTAAGGATGTAATGTGATGCTGGCTTATGGTGTGTGAGGTCTCTGAGTGATTAGGTCTGTACAAGGCAACAACTGCTTTCTTGACTCTCATTCTTCCCTATTAATTAAAAGGAAAAGAGCCCGAAGCAAAGACAAACTCTGGTGGTGAATTGAGGTAAGTTTAAGAAAAAGCCAAATAATCAAGAAAGCTTAAAAGATGAGGGCAACCTAATATTTTAAGGAAATTTACTACTCAGAAGCCAGGTGTGTTCAATGACCTGGAGTTCTTCTAAAATGCAACTCGATCCTAAGTCCAATGTACTAATACCTACAAAATGATTTCAGAGCTGTAGGGGGTCTTAGAACCTGACAATAGGAAACTATTCTTTAACACATGTAACAATAGCTCTAAGACATAAAATATTAGATTCAAATTGAAGTTTTTACCACCCACTCTAGTTTTCTGAATGTAATGTAGTTAATAAAAACATAATAAAGCGAATACTCTTCAGAAGTTTCTAATAGTCACCTTATTCTTTAGTGCTTCATAAATTTACAATGTGTAACACTTTAAAATTTTTACTGGGAAGGGAAATGGTTTGCCTTTATAAATATTTCCTGGACATATTTATAATATTAAATTTTAGGTTTTAAAAAAGTGATTATCACAGCTTTGATTTTCTTTTTAAGTCAAACCAAGCAACTGGGAATGTTTAAGTTAAACAGTCAGAATGCCCAGAAGTAGGGCAGATCAAAAGAGGAAGGAAAGGTATGGATTTCCTCTTTTGTTTTGTGGTAGAGGGACCGGAGGGATGTTAGACTGAACCTGTTAAGTTTGGCTAGTTCTCATTTTCCTTCACTTTGTTCTATGCAGATGATCAATTTTTTAGCAGAAGTAGCAGCATAACAGGAACCCATGTAAACGTGGTGGTCGTGGTGGTGGTGGTAGGGGCTTGGGTGGAAGGCAGGGGACAAGGAAGAGGTAGCCAATGTGAAATGTCCATTTCCTCTTTCTGGCATAGTCGTCAGATTGGGAGGAAGGATGGATCACTGACTCTAGTCTCACCACCCTGGAAAAACACCGAGTCTTCTATAATTCCATTTTTTCTATCTCTGTAGCTGCTTTTAAACAACAAAGCTTTGATAGGAAAAGGGCAGGGTGACCAAGGATAGGCAAATGCTGAATTCAATGTGTGCTTTAAGACAGAGTTTTTATATTTTGCTGATGGACAGAATTCAAATGTAGGGGCTTTAAAGCGGCTGAGACAGATGCTGGTGCTCTAAGACCCAGTGGACAGGTATAACTTAACCAAACACAAACCCTGTGGCTGTTGAGTTGATTCAGACTCACGGCAACCCTACAAGACAGAGTAGAACTGTCCCATACGGTTGGGTTTCCAAGGCTGTAATCTTTAGGGAAGCTGACTGCCAGAAAGAGTGGTCGGTTAAAACTGCCTACCTTCAGTTAGCAGTGGAGTGCTTAACCACTGTGCCACCAGAGCTCCCTGTGGATAGCTATAATGACTGGGAAAGTTGTTAACAGGTTTTGATGTAGGTTAAGTCTGCTAGCATGTCTTGTTTATGTGGGGCGTTCTTCAGCACTCTTCACTCTAGGTGCACAGTGCCTGTAAATTCTGTGGCTCCCATGCCCTGTATGAACCCACACTATGTCCTCTTGCTCAAAGACATTATGGTTTGGAAGTGGAGCACATTTGTGTAATGTGATGATTAGGTAGGAACACCTTTAGTAGGGAGAAAGAAGGGAGGCACTAAACATGAATATACAATAGAAAAGTTGGCCTGCTTGCTAATATGGAGAAAATGCACGCTGCTTGTTTCAAAGTCTTAGTAAACATGCTCTCAAGATCTTTAATATAGGCCTTTTCATTTATCAGCATTAAAGAGATGATGTTTTTAGAAAATAGTATCTAATATAAAAATGAAAACACTTGGCTTTGAATTTGTCCACAGAACAAGAAAAATTTAATAACTACTACTAAATTTAAATTTCAGTTCTTTTATAAATCAGGTTTAAAAACAAAACAAAACAAAACCCTGTCCCCAACCCCAAATAAATAATTTGTAGAATCATGAACTCCTTAACAGAAGCAAAAGAATCATGAGGAAATCACCCTAACACAGATGACCTAAGGAACTGAGCTCGTCCACTTTTTAACCCGTGAATGAGCTGATAAAGAAGTTTGCTCATTGGGCAAGTGATACAGTAGCGTTCTGTCCCTTTCAACTCTTGGCTAGTTAAAACAGAGGCATGATGAACTGGGTGCAAGAGAGCATTAAGATGATAAAAGCTACTGGGACAGCGGCTTAATTTTACTAGAAACCAGAGTTGTCTTTCCTGGGGGTGGGGCAATCCTGGATTTCTGACAGAAGGTGACAGAAGAATCAGGCCTTTTCTTTTTGAATGCTGGACTAAATAAGTATGTTAAGAATTATTAACGGTTAATGAAAAAAAAAAAAATTGCGGTAAGTTGCTTATTTCTTTAAATGTGTCTAGACATCACGTCATTAACTATAATATTCATTAAGAGTACAATAAGGAGTCCTGGTGGCACAGTGGTTAAAGCAGTGAGGTACTAAGCAAAAAGTAAGTGGTTCTAAGCCACTAGCTGCTCCACAGGAGAAAGACAGCACTGGAAACCCTACAAGGTTGCTAAGAGTTGAAATTGACTCAATGGCAACAGGTTTAAGAGTATTATGCTTAGTTAACAGAATAGTGGTTTTTTTAAAAAGGCAATTAAATAAAACACGTATCAAGTTCTTTCCCCTTAATTTCATTTACGAAGTTTAACTATCTATGCTAATAAATTATAATAAAGCTATTACTGAGAAACCTATAAACCTAACAGCAGGAAAGTGGCCTAGAAACGGTCTTTTGTGTGCTAAACTCAAAAGTACTCTAGTGAACTTAGTGCATAAAGTCAGTAAGCTCTGTAATTCAGTTAGTAGTATTGTTCTACTGCTACTTACTCTGGATGATGGTACTATATGTTAACATTAGGGGAAGCTGGGTGAAGTATACACTGAAATTTTCTGTATTATTTTTGCAACATTTCTGTAAGTCTGAAATTATTTCAAAATAATTTTTTATATGTTATTCAAGCAAGTGTTGAAGAAGCCACGGAAGCACTATTAATCTGAAATGCACACAATTTGAAGGGTACTTTTTCTTATATATATAATTAATTTTTAGTTAACTAAAAGTTAGCTAGTTGTTGTATAGGCATTTTCCAAGTAAACACAGAGTAAGTGGGGATGTTTGGGAAAGGCTGATATTTGTTGTTGTCCAGTTGGTTCTGACTTACGACGGTCTCCTGTCTAACAAGACAAAACGCTGCCCTGTCCAGCACCATCTTTGTGATCACTGGATGCTGGAACCCTGTCTCAGCTATTGTGTTAATAGGGCAAATGGATTATTTTTGGTGATTTACTTATTTATATATATTGTGGCACAATGTAATTATTAAAATTTATATATGTATGATTTCTCAGCTTAATTCTTAGAAACTATTAAAGAAAAACTGTTCAAAAGTATACTATGACTGACTTTAGTAGTTCAATGAAACATTTACATTTTGTTTAATATATTCAAAATTTAAAAAAGTTTGGGTTAAAGAACCTATTTTCAAAAGTATGACATTTTCTCATAATTATCAGCTTAGTTCAGAGATAGTGCTACAAAATTTTAGAGATTCACATTTTTGAAAGATTTTAAGAAAATAACACCGAAGTTTATTTAAACAATGTGAAAAATGATGTATTTATTACCTGAGGTACTCCAATTTTTCTGCAAGCTTCTAGGAAATTTTCCACATTTCGTCTACATTTTGCCATTGTTAATTTAGGCTGCAAAGAAAGAAAATTAGGTTACCAGCCAATTTTTAAAAACTTTGGCTAACTTCAAAAAATACTTTCTAAGTGTTTCATAAAATTATACTGTTCTAGAACAGGCGTCAGAGTAAGCTTTTCCTGAAGGACCATATAATAGATATTTTGGGTCCGAGGGCTATATGATCTCTGTTGCAACTACTTAACTCTGCTATTTGAGTTAATGAGAAGCTCTAACAATAAGTGTGCTGCTCAAATAAAACTTTATTTACCAAAATACAGGTGGCTGGCCATGGGCCGTGGTTTGCCAATCTCTATTCTAGATATCTGGCTTTTTGTAAGGCAAAATACTAAGTGAAAAATGTGAAGGAAGGAGAGAGTAGTTTTTTGTTATTTCTTATTCCATTTTAAAGCAATATACATTTAAAATCTGATTATCCTCAATTTAAATTTGGAGGATGGCAATAAAATGAATTATACCTTCATCATTCATATATAATCACAATTAGCACTTTGATCCATTTACTTTTTTAAAAAGAATATGTATATTTAAAACCAATAGCCTTTGCTCAGAAACTGGTTATAGATATATTTCAATGAAAACATTTACATTTTGCTTAATATATTCAAATTTTAAAAGTTTGGGTTAAAGAACCTATTTTCAAAAGGATGACATTTTCTCATAAAAGTTTCCCTAAGTACTAACTACAAACTTGTTTTCTGAAAAGCTTTCTAATGACTGGAAACATCAGAGTTGTATCACATGACTCAAAGCTGTGACAAGGTTTTTCACCCAGTTGGTTATAATGGGATACAATGTAAGGGAAAAAATTAATTTCATTTCCCAAAATGATTAACAAACTCAACTGGATCAATTAATTAGTTGGTTTCCAATTATGTTCAAGCATCAGGCATGGATGTCAGATGTTTGGAGGGCGTATGACCTACAGTTTTTACAAGGGTAAACTGATGAAAGCCTATAAGACACCACTAGAGAAGAAAAGCTATCTGTATATATCTAGGTTTTCTTCAAAGGTGGAATTAAGAACAATTTGTCATGAGAAGAGGGAAAACAAAGGAGATAAATAATAGTGAAAAGTAGTAATAATTTTCAAATTTTAAGTTGAAAAACTTTCAAAAAGTTCCAGAAAGAAGACATGAACTAGGTTTTTGGGGAGCGCATTCAGCCTTGCTAAGTTCTATATAACTGAGATTAAAAAAATAAAATCTAAATAGTAGAATCATGATCTACTGAATGGAAGGAGAAAAACAATCATCGGTTTTGAGACTAATTCACACGGGAGCGGGACTCTTTCTCTCCTATTTTGTAGCATGTGAAAGTGCTAAAAAGACAAGTGATGCTATGTCCCGCTCAATTCCTGGCTAGTTCAGGGGGCGGTAAGGTGAACTGAGGCACAAGGGAAAAGTCACTATGGTGAAAATTACCAGGACAAGGGTAGCTGGTTTTGGATAGTCACTTCTCTACAATATGCAGCCTGCTCTGAATAAGAAATCTTACGCAGGTTTCAGAGAAGAAAGTAATTTCAGCAAGGGGATAATTTATACTGAAAGGACCAAGAAATAACTGATTAATTGATTCTGGGTATTTAAAAAGACTAAGAATTTTCAGATTATTCATCTTGATAATTGTCACTGAGTTGTCCCATCACAATACATACAATGGTCTTTGACATGCTTCAATAGTGTGTACTTAATAACATGACCTGTATTACTCAACACTTAGGACTACTAACAACCAAATATCATTTTTATCAAACATCCTAGATTTTCCCAAAATAACAAAGATGAATTATAACCTACTGGTTGCAAATATTTAATGGAGGAAAAACCAAAACTAAACACTAAACTTCTTAGTTGTCAAGTTGATTTCAACTCATGGTACTCCATGTGTTTCAGAGTGGATCTGCACTCCATAGCGTTTCAACAGCTGTTATCTTTTAACAGCTGAAAATAGATCACAGGCCTTTCTTCCAAGGTGCCTCTGGCTGGACTCAAATCACACCAACAATTTGGTCAATAGCTGAGTGACTAATACCCAGGGACAAAAGCTGCAAACATAAATATATTTTTAAAATTTGTTTTAAAATGGCTGGACAGTAATAGCTCCTTATAATGAAGGGGTCATTTTTTTTTTTTTTTTAATTGGGGGGGAAAAACCATGGTTTGTACAATATATCAGGAAACTTTATTAAATTACACTTAGAATTCCAACTAGTCAGTTCTCAAAGATTTCTACTAAGTTGTTATGCATGAATGTAACCACAAAGAAAGTGCTGTGGTTTTTCCCTTGTTTCTGGGTTCCATTTAATGTTTTTGTAACATAAAATTTCTAAGAAAGTAAATTAAAAAGCTCCCTGTATGGTCATAAAAACAAAATAAGGAAAGAAATAGCCTAAAATGAGGGAGTAAAATTCATATGACTAAATACAGATGTAAATTTTTATGCTGAAGTCTAATGCTAGAAGAGAAACCCTGAAAACAACAGTGATAATAGTAATTACCATCCTTATTTGAAAGTAGTTTTTGCTTTGAATTAAAATACTGAACAATATAGTTCTCATTTGATCAACTCAAATGATATAATATGGGAAGCTTTACAAATATACATATTTCTTCTAACTTTACAGAACATTTATTAACCAAAAAAATTACCCCTTAAACAATCTCTATTAGGCCTATGTGGGGACTTGAATTTACTTGATAAGGCTTTTCTATCCAAAGTCTTCTTAATTTCCACCAAGTGATTGGATGTTGTTGTTCAGTGGAGTGAGTCTGACTCAGAGCGACCCTATATAGGATTTCCGAGGAGCCGCTGGTGGGTTTGAACTGCCAACATTGGGGTTTAATCCAGTGCTGATCCTACAAGCACCACATCAGGAATCCAAGTGATTAGATGGGATCATGCAAAAAAGGTATACAGGACTCAAAGGCTGGGATTGGTTAGTTTTGCCCTCCAGCTAGGCTTAAAAGGAACCACCTCATCAGAAGCAGAGGAAGAAGATCCCAGGACCATCAAGAAGGAAGAGCTGAGTGAAGTGTGAGATCCCTACTAAGAGAAGCAGCTATGGCAGAGGCAACAGAAGAGGCAGTGCCACGGAGAGGCACTAGAACCACGGACTGAGTAAAGTTGAGTGTCTATGGGCAGGAGACTGACTTGAAGAAGGCGCCCTTTGGGCATTCACAGACTGGCTAAAAGAGCTTTGTAACGCTTGCCCGAGTAGGGCAGAGGACCACATGGCTGAGAGGTCGAAGACAAAAGTGAGGTGTGCCTGCAACATGGTAGATGAGACGTTCCTGACTGGAGAACTGCTGCGTCCTGAGTTTCTTTTTTATCCTGAATTGTAGCCTGTTCACTTCCCTAATAAACCCTATAGTTATGAGTATTGTTATGAGTTCTGTGTGGCCATTGCAACGGATTATCAAACCCGCAGCAGAGAGTGCTGTGGATTGGTGTCATAACAGGATAAAGAAAGTTGTAGGGTGGAAACATGTCTGCCCTCTGCTTCATAGGAATTTGCCTTGGGCTGATTTTGAGTTTGATTCTCTTTCCCCCTTGGAAGCCAGAAGAAGTCAGACATAGCTCCCACATCGTTTCTGCAGCCTACTTGTTCTTAAGTGTCAAGCTACTATTTTATGAAGGAAATACATTTTTTTGTTCTTTTAGAGAAATTCATGTTCTTGAAGGAGCTGGGTGAAACAAGCAGTTTGCCATCAGCTGTTAACCTAAAGGTTGGTGGCAAGAACTCACTCAATAACTCTCAAGAAGAAAGGCCTAGCAAACTGCTTCCATAAAGATACAGCCAAGGAAACCCTCTGTAACACAGGGATTCACCATGAGTTGAGGGCTGACTAAATGGCTGCTAACAACAACAGAATTCTTAAGAGAATCAACAGAATATCTGGCAAAATGTATGTGCTTAATAAATATTTGAGTCAACAAACATTAAGTTTTGTTGTGATTTCACCAGCAAGTTTTAAATGTTCTAATATCCTATCATGCCCATTTCTTTGAGAAGGCCCACACGTTTTACATCTCTAAGCAGTTAAATATTTATAAAATGATTGTTTTCTTATACAAATTTCACATTTTTTAATGGAAGGCACAGTGCTTTGGTGATCAAAGATCCTCAGTTACCCCTACTCACATTGCACTTTCTGCATGGATTAGCTCCTTAGTATTTCCTATTACTTGTCCTTTTTTTTTTTAAAACAAAAAAAAAAAAAAATCTTAACTCAGTTGACAGAAACTGGGCATACTGCAAAGCATGACTAGACCTTTCCTTTTCTAGTGTTTCCAAATAGCACGCCAATTCCTATTCTCTTCATCATCATGATCAGGATGGAAACCAAGTCTTCTGAGTATCTGGGAGCATAGTCAACTTTGGTAGTGTTATAATTCCTCTCTGCTTTTTCCATATAAAGCAGAAGGCCTGGTTTTCTGAAGGCACTAAACAAAAGATAGCTATTTTTCTTAAGAATACATGCACGACTCTACTTTTGGATGTGCCAGATGGGAAGGGCCATATAGCATTCCTGGGACTTTAGTAACAGAGGAGACCCACCACGCTAGGACTGGGAAGCTCTTAGAGGCACAGGAGTACAAGGTTCTTAGGAGGGATAAAAGAACTGCATCTGGAAAGAGCCACCCTGTTCTGACTCACAGAGACTCTGCATAGGGTTTCCAAAGAGCAGCTGGTGAGTCTGAACTGCTGACCTTGTGGTTCAAACCAACCTTTCAGTCCAATGCTTATCTTACAGTGCTACACCAGGACTCCGTATCTGGAAGGATACCAAGATGAATGTCTACACACAATCTATAGACACAACTGTAATTTGAATAAAGACTATGTGTCAGGGATTGCCTGGTAAATAATAAGTGACCAGGGAATGAGATGAGGTTAAAATCATCTGCAAAAGGCTAAACATGGTACTATGCAGAGTACTCATTTGGGATCACCAAGAGAGGGTATCATGTAAGAATCAAATGCAATGTGGAAACCTAGATTGTATCTTGATTGTGTGTATGTGAATGTGTGTATATACTAGTGGATGGGAGATGGAAAGCAGCTATAAAATATATTCTTGGAAAAACTGGGCAAGTTTGAATATAATCTGTCTGTGGTGGAAGCTGCTGGTGCCCCACCCACTTTCCATTAACCATCCTTCCCCTATGGGCTTCTAATGGCATGACATCTAGATGTACTCCTTTGGAGAACTGTCCTAATTCACCCTTTTCAGGAGGTTAATACCCTGCTTGTTTCCCATTGCCTGTAGACAATGACTGACAGATATAGAGCTGAGCCATCATTCCTCAAGGCAGAGCAACCTCTGTAGTATAATTCATACCCCAGAGCTCATTGTGGAAGCTGAAGTTTTATACCAGCGGAGTACACGTCCTTACTTAACTCCTTCCCCAGCTCTACTTCTTTCCCTCCTATCTTCTGAGAGAATTCTATAATATGTTGACACACCCAAATTCCTCTCTCAGACTCTGTTTCCAGGAAACCTGACCTAAGATTTGGACCGAATATTTTATGGAATTATGAAATTATTGCTCTATTTTTTAGTCATTATTACTATAAAGTAGAATGCTTCTATTTTTAGGACATGCAGGCTGAAATGTTTAGGGGCAAAGTATTACGGTATCTGTAACTTGTAAATGGTACAGTTAAAATACACACACAGAGAAAAAGATAAAGCAAGTGTGGCAAAGTGCAATCCACGTCAGAACTGGGTGGAAGCTTTAAGAGTGGACATTAGATTATTCTTTCAATGTTTCTTAAAGTTTGAAATTTTTGCTAATCAAAGTTGGAAGAAAAAAAAGACTGGCATATCAAGCCAGAATTCTGCTTTTTCTTTTGAGGGTCATCATCCTGATTAGTGCCTTTGGATCTGGCCAACAGTTCAAAGAAACTTGCACATTACCTTGCATGCACATTTCCCTTCATTTCCCTCCTGTAAGTGGTCACCTCTGAATAATCTTCTCAGTCTATCATCCCCGGCCTCCCTCCCACTCCCCGAATTCTGGCTGTCATCTTCTACAGCCTGAACTAATGCAGCAGATGCTTCATTGGGCTTCTTTCCTCTAGTCTTACCACCTCCAATCTCTGTTACTCTGCAGCTATGTGGATCACTCTAACTTGCAACTACAATCATGTTACTCCCCTACTTAAATTCTTTCCATGTTTCCTCATTGTCTACAGCAATACAAACTTTTAACTCCTTGGCATGCTAACAAGCAGCCCTTATAACATGACACCTGGCTTACATCTCTTGGTTCACCCCCTGTCATTTACTCCTATACCCAGTACATGGTCAGTTTGGAAACACTTAAGAATGTCATGATCTTAGCTTTTGAATCTAACAATTTTGAATCTAAAAAATATGCTTGGAATGCCTTTCTCTTTCACTGTACTACTAGCAAATTCCTACTCATACTTCAAGAAATTAGTTCAAATTTTACCTCTTTTGTGAAGGCTTTCCTGAACTCTCCAGAGAGAGTTCAGTGGTCCATTTTTTGAAGCCTCATAGTTTCCCTTTGGCAAACCTCTAAAATGTAATACACTGTTAGAATGTACTATTTACAGCCTATTTTTACTCTAGTAGAAGTGAGACTCAGGAAGGCAGTAACTAGACTATTCACATTTGTTTCCCTAGCATCTAAGCACAATGCTGGCCACTACACTTAGTAAATATCTAATGAAATGGCAAATATTTGTTAGCATTATAAACTTACTACAGCTGGTGAGGGAACATGAATGCTTGGGACAGATCGAGGCCGCACATGATTGGCCAGATGGCAAAGAACAACACCATCAGTCAGAGCTGCTCCCAGATCACAAGGTAGAGAGACTTTCAACCGGTACTCGATATGCTACAAGAATAGGAAAATGTGTTATATAGTCATTGAAAAGTGGTTGAGACATAGGATGTAAGTTACAACAGAATGTACTTAACTAGAAATCAACATAAAAAGCAAATAACTTCAGTACCACAGTATCTCTTTTACCGTTCTACCTGAAGTTAATAATTTTAGGGGATCTAATATACAGTACGTACTGCAGCCAGGGTACAGTGCTGCACAGCACAACAGAAATCCAGTTAACAGTTTTCTGATAAAACACTGGATTCTCTTTCAATCCCAAATTAAAGAGCCAATCATTATATGTACGTGTAAGTATACATACAAGTAAATTATTATAACTCTTACAAGACTTGATTACAACAAGAGGCGGAAAGGAAAGACAAAAAATTTTAACTGAGTAGAACAAGGAGGTGAGATTTATAGAATAATCCAACTCAATCAATTTCTTTGTGAATAATTGAAAACAACTTCCCTATTAGCAAAATTTCTTTTACATTCATTATAATACACAGCACATATTGAATATGTATTGATTCTACTAAAAATTAAATATCAAATGAACAAGTGATCACAGAAATATAGACTGTAAGCATTATGACTAAAAAGTATGATTCAAAGGTAATGTACACACTTTCCGTAGTTGATCTATTAATTCCAGCTCCTCTTCTCGCAGTCTCAAATTCTGCCTTGTTATAGTATCAGTAGAATCAATGTTAGGTGCAGAAGATGACAGAAGGGGTGAACCATGACCTAGAACAGTAATAACATGTAAGATATTATGTTGCATGTAAGTAATATATAAATATATATACATTTATGAAGTAAAATTGCTGGTGTTCAATTTTAGTAGATAAAGTATACTCATTTAGACCCTGTGTGTCTATTTGTTACATTTAAAGTATCTATTTAAAAGAACAAGGAGTCCTGGTGGCACAGTGGGTAAGCACTCGGCTGCTACCAAAGGCTGGCGGTTTGAACCTACCAGCTGCTCTGTGAAAGATGTGGCAGTCTATTTTCACAAAGATTACAGTCTTGGTAACCACCTACATACAAGGCACTTCTACTCTGTCTTGTGAGTTGGAGTCAATTCAGTGGAAATGGGAAACACGTTTTTTAAATAAAACTTAAAAAGTTTCCACATCCATGCAGTTTTCCTTTTGTTGTTGTTGTTAAGTGCCATTGAGTCGCTTCCAATTCATAGTGACCCTGTATACAGTTTTCAAGGAGAGGCTAGTGAGTTTGAACCACTGACTTAGCAGTTCAAACTGACCTCACAGTCCAGTGCATTAACCCTCAGCACCAATTTGTCAAGACATAAAAGAATGTGAGTTTTAGACACTCACTGAGCAGACTCTTTGCAACAAAGACATGGGAAATCAAGTGAAAGAGATACAGATGATGATCCTGGAAACTGAGTTTCAGGAAGCACGAATAAGAGGTGGAATGAACAGAAGCAGCAAGATAGAAAAAAAAACACATGGGCTGTCAGCTGGCATGGAGTAACACAGCCATCCTGAGCTTTTGCAAGTGGCTGTTGATCCGTGGTTAGAGGTTGGCCGGGGGATTTGGTTCTCCCTTTTTATGTACCCTCCTAGAAGCTGGGGGCATGCCTAGTGCCTGCCTGTGCCAACTCAGTGGCATCTGTCTTCGGGCAGTGGTTGTGCCACCGCTGATTTTGGAGACGCATGAATTGAACTATGCTACACAAACAGCAAACAGAGAACTAGGTTCCACACTTCCAGTCCCTGTAACATCCACCAGGAGACAGGTAGTGAGTACCTGAGTACATCCAACATACAATCATCAGTTAAATATAAATACGATGACACCACAATGTCTCAGAGAACACACAATTTCAGCTTACATGAAGAAACAAGACAAGAGTGGCCTCAAACAAGTGACCAAAATACAGAATCAGAAAATATTATGCCACAAATGGTATCAGAACTATTTAAAAAGGAATTTAAAAGAATGATACTTAGGTACCTTCACGGGATTAAGAGGAAAGTAAGGGAACCACAGAAAAACCTTTAGAAGAATTCAGGAAAACACTGTAAGAATAAACTGAATAAAGTAAATGAAAAACTGAAAATCATACAAAACAGCAATTAGAAAGTCAATGGAATAATACTAAGACTTCAGAAACAGCTAGGCCATTGAAAAGGCAAAAAAGTAGAATTGACTCCATGGAAGGCTGATTTAATGAGCTTGAGCTTGAAAACAGATAAATCTCTCAATACTCATCTTCAAGAGGAACAACAACAAAAAAAAAGAACGTAAAAATATGATTTATGTAGGACACTATAAAGAGGAATAACTTATATATGATTAGAATTCCAGAACAGGAAGGGACAAAGAAGAAAATGAAAAAACCGTCCAACATTTGCTGGAAGAAAAGTTCTGTAACATCATGAAACATAAGATAGTCATTCAAGAAGTTAAATAAACTCCAAACAGGACAGACCCCAAAAGAAAATTACTCAGATATAATCAAACTTTTGAAAACTAAAGACAAGGAAAGAATCCTGAGAATAGCTAGGGAAAATCAAAAAGATAACTTATAAAGGAGAACTAGTAAGATTCTGATTTCTCAGCAGAAACCGTGTAGACAAGGAAACAAAGGGTTGATAGATATAAACCTCTGAAAAGAAAAAAAAGTCAACCAAGTATCATATACCCAGCAAAATTGTCCATCAAATGTTACAGTGAATTAGGACACTTCCAAATAGACATGCATTAAAAGAATTTGCAAAAACCAGACCAACCTTCCAAAAATACTAATGGAAGTTGTTTGGACAGAGAACCAACAACAGTAGACAACAATCTGAGACAAACATAAATGAAAGTATCCCCCAGAACTCATGGCAAATTTAGAAGTATTCAAAGTAAAATAAACCTTCAAGACTGAAAATAGGGAACCAGAGATACCAGTTTGCAACTAAAAAACCATAGTAAAAAGAGAGAATAATGCAGTCTACAGAACTTGCAAATGAAGAGGAAATCAAGTAGATTTCAAGAAAAGCATATAAATCTAACTGTAACCCTGAAACTAAGTCATATTCCTAGCCCTAGCCCAACCCTACCCCTAACACTAACCCTAGTCCTAACCATAACATAACACTAAACGAATTCCTAGGCCTAGCTTAGACCTAGTCATAGTCCTAACTAACTCCTTATTCTTACTTCCTGCAGACAAAAAAACCCCTACACCAAAAAACTGACTTTGCTCCAACAATACCATTTCTAGATTGTATTCTAATGAAAATATTGGTGCTTTACATAAAGATTTTTATATTGCCATTAAAACAAATATGCCCAAAAGAATATCTAATTATTTTAAGAAAATGTTTCTCTTGTAATATTAAGTATGAAATCAATTTACATAAAAAGTGTGAGATTTTAAATATTACTAATTCACTTAACAACAAAGAAAACCACCTTGATCAATACAGAGAAATAAGAAAGCTCATTTCAGAGAAGGAACCATCTCTGAAGCCTTGAGAGAACAATCTACCTGTTCAAACACTATAACCTGCACCACCACAAAAATGCTGACTATTAATGGTGAATCTGTGAAACACCTCACAACATAGTTAAACCTGGAGGACATTATTCTAAGTGAAATTAGTCAATCACTATAGAACAAATATTGGATGACACTATAGTGTAAAAGGAGCTCTGGTAGCGTAGTGGTTACGAATCGGGCTGCGAATCTTAAGGTCAGTGGTTCGAAACTACCAGCTGCTCCGCGGGAGAAAGATGAGGCTTTCTACTCCCGTAAAGATTTACAGCCTCGGAAACCCTATACAGGGTCGCTATGGGTCGGAACCGACTCGATGGCACATAACAACAACAACATAGTGTAAAAAGTTTAAAAAAAAAAAAGGTTTTCTTAATAAAAGAAACAATCTAAGATGGTTACAGGGTGGAGAGGAGGGAAAATTATTCACAGGCTAGAGGGCAGACACAGGTTAACATGAGTGACAGGGCAGGCAATATATAACAAGAGGGACATTAACAGATAAGGTGAAGGTAGTGAAGACACAGGGAGGAATGCAAAAGTGAATAGAGATAAATGCTGTTAACTGTTGGTATATGGAGGGAATTGCAATCATTGTAATGAAGCACAGTATATGATTTGTTGAATGTAAAAGTGATGATACATCTGTAAACCTTCACTCAATTCACAAAAAAGTTGAAAGATAAACAAACTCAAAGAAAATTTACCTGAGTTCATAGACAAATGGTATAGTTTAAAGCTTTTGCTACAGAGATAGTTCAGAGTAGTAGAAAATCATGTAATAGTTAAATGTCAGTGTTTAGGCTTCACCCCACCCCACCCTCCCCTTTTGAAATCACTGCTATTGTTACTAGTTGCTATTGAATTGATTCCAAGATTACAACTTTTGGCAACCCCATGTGTGTAGAGCAGAGCTGTTCCACAGCGGTTTCAAGGTTGTGACCTTTCAGAAGCAGTTTGCCAGGCCTTTCTTCAAGGCACCTCCAAGTAGGTTTAACTGCCAACCTTTTGTTTAGTAGTCAGGCGATTAACGTTTACCCACCAACGGACTCCATAACCACTACTACTTACCTTTACTTGTTTCTGCCCTGACAGCTGCTCGGTAAAGGAAGCTTTCAGGGCGTTGGGGCTGGTTTCTCTGATTAGCAGCAGCAGGAAGGAGATATGCAGGGGAATGATGAACTAAATCAGCATGACAAAGCAAAATAAGATTAAAGTCGATGGAAAGAAAATGAAATATAATAGCAAATATGTTACTACAAAAGTTCAATAAACAGCAAATAATATTTAAAACGAATTAAATACGATAATGATATATTATAATTTTATTAATGCTAAGCATGGTACACAAAAATTAGTATGAAAGTAGGTAAGCTAGCTGCTTTTACATGCATTTAATTGTATTATTTTGGTGTAATGATAAAGGTAAAATGAATATTAATATGTCAAACATCATTTCTTACAAATCTACACTGCTAACTCACTCATTTGTCATTAAGGATGACTAAGTAGCTGAACAAGTAGTTGCTTTAAAAAATGAAAAATGTGCAGAAAGTTCCCAGTTTTGTCCCCAAGTAATTTACCACCTCAGAAAAAGCAGCAGCAGCCAATTAAGGAGTAGTAAGAAAAATTCAGGTGAAGAGTTATTAATCTTCACATGGTTAACGGCACCATGTCTACTACCTGTTTCTGCTGTAGGTGAACTTGATGAAGCATTAGATCTGTCCTCATTCTGCAGAGAAACAGGTATGTCATTAATTACTACTCAACAAGAGGTACCTTCCACATTGATGCTAACTTTGTGATTACAAAAGGAAAAACAGAACATGCAATTTGCCTTCAATATGAAATCCAGAAAAGAACATTTGATAAAATGAATGAATTCTTTAAGTGGTTCCCCACGCCCCCTTTTTTTTTAAAGCTAAACTTTTAATTTAACTGTGTGTGATGCAAGAAGATTTATGTAATACATTATAGAAAGACAGTCCCATTATTAAACAGGCTGTCTTTAGACTGTAAAAAATGGGCATCATAAGCTGACTCACAGACTCAGACTCATAGGCAGAGCAGAACTGCTCTGTAGAGTTTCTGAGATGCAAATAAAATTAATTTAGGATTTTAGGAAGAAATGGAAAATTAACAAGAAATGTTATATAAAAAAAATGCAACAAGAACTAGTAGAAAGAATGAAAAGGCAAATGAGGTGAGAGTTGGATATCTTTATTAGAAAACAAAATTTACAAGTAATGCCGATATGGAAATGAGGACGTAGTTAGCTAAAGAGAGATCCGTTCAAGGATCAATAGTACAAATAAGCAGTATTAAAAGTATGGATTATTTATTCTAGATAGAGAGAAAGTGTTCTTAAAATAGCAGATGACCCATTGAGAAGAGTTAGACTAAAAATTTAAACATTTAAGGAATAAAAAGACAAATTGCTGTTTGTTGTTATGTACTGTGGAGTTGGTTCCGACTCATAGTGACCCTGCATAGGGTTTTCAAGGCTGTAAATCTTTATAGGAACAGAAAGCCTCATCTTTCTTCCGCAGAACAACTTGTAATTTTGAACTGCTGACCATGAGATTAGCGGCCCGATTTGTAACCACTACGCTACCAGAGCTCCAAAAAGACAGATACAGCAACTTTATTTGATAAGTAGGAAGACATGAAACAAAAGGCACTGAATAGCAGTGAACGCTTTCCACCTCCAGGAATTGTTAAGTGCCATCCAGTCAGTTCTGACTTATAGCTACCCTGTATAGGGTTTCGAAGGAGTGGCTAGTGGGTTTGAACCGCCAACCTTGTGGATCAAATCAATCTTGCAGTCCCAGTGCATTGTCCTCTATCACCACATCAGGACTCCAGAAATAGCAATTGATAAGATACAACTGAGTCTGATAAAAGGCTTCCTATACGCAGACCGCCACTTCTTTCTCACAAGGAGTAGTTGGTGGGTTTGAACCACCAACCTTTTAGTTAGCAGCCAAGCACTTCACTGTGCCACCAGGACTCCTTACTAAAATCATTAATTCAAATGACTCTGGAGTTATTAACTACATTCAGGAATGCTTGGATAAATGGAGAGGAATAAAAAAAGAATACTCTCAGAAATTAACATGTACTCAATTTTTAAGCATGCTTATGCAATAAAAGAAGTAGAACCATGCTCAAATACACCACAGAACTGTTGCAAAGTACACACCAAAAACGAAAGAATCTTCTAAAATGAATCATTTGACAGTGTAGCAGATGTGATTGTTAGAAAGCTAAACTGGTCATCTAGCTAAAATATAGCTTTAATTTCACATGATATTTGTAATATGGAGTTCTGATATAAAGAGGACAAATCTCTTGATGGAGAGAATTATTTATCATTTATTATGTGTATCTTAACAAATACGGAATTACCATCCCTAGAGACCTTCAAAAACAAAAGAAAATGCTACTGGTGAAATTTTAGAGTTTGATTTAATTTTTTTCAGAAGGCAAAATTTATCATCTCATGACAGCACTGTTGATATAAACTAGGGATTTGAAAATTATTTGTTAAAGGGCCAGATAATATTTTAGGCTTGTTGGCCATATGATCATATGATCTCTGTTAAAACTATTCTAATTCATTGTGAAAGCAACCATAGATAATATACACAGAAATTAAAGTTGTATATCATTAAAACTTTATTTATAAAAACAGGTGGCCTTCTCTAGAAGATTTTAGCAGTGATTACTTTGGTGTCTGGGGCTCATAGTCTTTTGCACAGCACATTGCTGTTGTTAAATGCATTGAGTTGGTTCTGACCCATAGTGACCCTTGATGGAGTTTCTGAGGATTTGAACCACTAACCTTGGGGTTAGCAGTCCAATGTTTATCTTACAGTACCATACCAATTAATATTATATTCTAACCAAGGTAAAATAATAACTCATGACCAAAATCATCTGTGGCATGGTAAAATTATCCAAAATTTCAAGTTAAATCAATATTAACAAGTTTAAGTAATTTCATAAAGTTAGGCTTATTTCATGCAATACTAGGTTTCATACTGTTGAACCAGTCCACTAGAAAATCTGCGATCTCCCTTACATAGCTTCCCTCCCCAAATTTCTGGGTGAATTACAACAATAACAAGAAATACCTTAAGAGGCGTGAAGGCAGAAGAATGCGGCAGGGTAGTAGCACAGCCCACTTGATCCAACCCTGACAGCGACTACATTTCAAAAGAGAAAGAGAAGAAATAGAAGCAGCACTTATATTAGCAAAATGACAGGCAAGCAGCTCTGGTCAGTGAAATTAGAAAAAGAAAGGCTATTGACAATTTTCAAATGGTTTATTAACATATTGGTAGAGTAGAAAGAAAATACCTTGGGGAAAAAGAAACAATTTATAAGACATAATTTTGTCACCTATATAGTGCAAGATGTGCACAGCATCTCATACTTTATTAATGAATACATATGAAAGACATGATCTATTTAAAATGATTTTCTATCATTTATGCAAAAAACTAAGAATATATACATTTTTGCAAAAGACCTTTAAAAACTAATGCATCCTATGCTGTTCCTATGACAGGGATGGAGAAGGAGGGGGGAATAACAAATCCAATCTAAGAGCTAATTTTAACTGAGCAGAACATGCATGTGTGCAGAAACTGTTTTTCAATAGTAATCCATATTAGATTTTACAAATTAATTTTTACTTTATTTTAAATGTCTCTGGTGTGAGATGACAGGATGCAAAAAATCAGCATTTCACTTCAGCCTCCATGAAAATCCAGATGATACATAAGAGGATAATAAGTTGAATTTCCCTTTCTTTTTGAATCCTTTACCTTCTTATCAATCAACATGGTGGTAGTGTGGTGACTATGTGCTGTGGAGTCAGTTCTGACTCATCAACCCTGCACAGGGTTTCCGAAAGCCTCATCTTTCTCTCAAGGAATGGCTGGTAGTTTTGTACTGCAAACCACTACACTACCAGAGCTCCTTTCAATCAACATACAACTAATTACTCTCAGAAAATGCTTCTCTTAGGGCACTTCCAAAAATTTACAGGAAATTATAGATTTACTGAACATAACTGCTCTTGAAATTTGTATCACACCAGCAAAGAATTCTATGGAAAAGGGAAAGTTAAGAGAGATTAAGTGCTAGAACCTACAGTACATAAGTTTGATTACACATAATACAGATTAAAACATGACTATTTTAAAATTTGGTAGGGAATAGAAATCAGAGAAGAGAGAAGACAGGATAACTTTCAGAAAGGGTGTTTGGCAGATAAGGTTCTACCTATTTGTGTTGTAGTCAACTACTTAATATGTCTCTTCTAGTCATGTCTTTGTAAGTCCCACCAAACGACTCTTTTCCTGGTGGGTCTCGGTTAAGAGAAGGTGGGGGAACATACTGATAGGATGACATGATTCAGCTGTGATGGTAACAGAGTTACAAACACTTGAAACTCTAGCATGAGTATAAAATGAACCATCTCAGAAGCAGGAGAGGGATTCACTACCATCAAAGAAGAGCCAGGAGTGGAGTATATCCTTTGGACCCCAAGATCCCTGCACATGGAACCTCCTCGACCCAGGAACAGAAAGCTGTGACATAAGAATGGCAGAAGAGCAGTAGCAGCAGCAGGACCAAGAACCAAAGCATGAGACAGAACAGTGGGCTTCCCAGTCCATGTAACAAGTACAGCTGAGTGACTGGGCAGGAGGAAGCTTACTTATAGAACCGGGTGCATCCAGGCACTTAAGTGGGGAAGCTAGGTTTGCTGACCCACGATGCTAGAGCCAAGTGACTTCAGGCTGAGGTTTATGATGGAGTAGTGTTTCCTGTGGGCATTTATCAGCAGCTGACAGGAACAACCCTGACAGAAAATGACCTGAGCATTTTCTAATTCTGACTTGCAATCTGTTAACTTCCCTAATAAACCCGGCAATTCTGAGTATTGTTTCTGAGTTGTGTGTGGTTATGTCAACAGATTATCAAACCCAACTGAGGACTAGAGAAGGTTGTGGAAGGGATGGCTGGTGTTTAATAATTTGCACTATTAAAACAAAACCAAAAATATAAAAAAAGCTTAAAGATATTAATCCTTCAATAAGTTAAATAACTAAAAATTTGAAACAAGGATCACAATTTCTGAATCATGGAATAAATCAATAACAACATATGTAGCTGTTTAGAAAAAGGTATGTACATGGTCAACAGAGTAAATACAACTGTATTTTTAATGAGAGTTGACAGGTAGCAATGTCTTTTTTTTTCCCTTGACAAAAAGTGTGCAATACATAATGTGCTATATGTTGTTGTTGTTTGTTGTTAGGTGCCGTCAAGTCAGTTCCGACGCATAGCAACCCTACACAGGGTTTCCGAGGCTGTAAATCTATACGGGAGCAGAAAGCCTCATCTTTCTCCTGTGGAGCAGCTGGTAGTTTTGAACTGCTGACCTTGCGGTTCGCAGCCCGATTTGTAACCACTACGCTACCAGAGCTCCTTAATGTGCTATATAGTTAAGGAAATTACTATATAACATAAGCTACTTTACGTAGTTCTGGTGTGGTGCTGTAGGATCAGCACAAGACTGCCAACTATAAGGTCAGCAGTTCCGACCCAAAGCAATGCTGTATAGGTTTTCCAAGGAGCTGCTAGTGGGTTTGAACCACTAACCTTGCAGTTCAAACAGACTTTGTGATCCAGTGCATTCTCCTGCAGCACCACACCAGAACTGCTGGAAACCCTGTGCAGGGTCGCTATTAGTTGGAACAGACTCGAGACAGCATTTAACAACAAGCTACCTTAAAGTGAAAAAGTATATGAAGAAATAAGTGTGGTATCAAAAAGTCACTGTATATGTTTCACCTGCTTATATTTTTTAGGCCTCCTTAATCATAACTGTTAGAATTACTGTCAATGTCACACACAAAAAGGCTCAAAGCAATTATGTTGGCAAAAAAAAGGAGTGGAGGGGAGAGGAAATGAACCGAGCAGCCTAGCTACTCTTATAATGTTTGAGGATGAGTCAAAAATTATCTACACTCTGGCTGTACAATTTTTTAAATCAAGTTTTAGAAAAGGAAAATACATCATTTTTCGACATAAACTCCTTGCTTTTCAATGCACTTTGTCCATCTGTCAACAAGCTTCCATATTCCCTTATTAAAAAAACATCTTAGGCTGAGCTGCAAGACATGAATACACCAGTCTTCACTTCTTCACCAGAGGTGAGTCTTTGTCCTTGAAGGGCTGCTTTCAGGGGACTACAAAAGTGGAAAGTCTGATGGAGCAAGATCAGGACTATAGAGAGGATGCTTAAACACTTCAAAAGGAAGATTTTTCAGTGTCAACAGGGTAAGCAGAGGTGTGCAGACATGCATTGTTATGCAAGATCACAAAGCCCTGGGATAGCAGTCTTCTGCATTTAATCCTAAATTTTAATCCAGCTCTTCAGTGAGCATCTCACTGCAATGAGCACTATTGATTGTTGAACCTTTTTCGTGATAGTGTCCCAATACTGGCCCTTGAGAATCTCAGAAAACTGTAAGCATTAACTTTCCAGCTGATGGTTGTTGACTTTTGAACTTTTTCTTGGTTGGCAATTGAGGATGCTTCCATTTCATACTCTGCGTTTACTCTCAGGCTCGTAGTGATAAGGATTTTTTTTTAAAAGAAGGATTTTTTTTTTAAAAGAAACTTTTATCTTCCAGTAAGGATTTTTTTTAAAAAGAAACTTTTATCTTCCTTTGAGTATAGGTCCAAATTTTATTTGCAGGTATCCAAATGCTTCTGTTTATGCTCTTCTGTGATTTGTTTTGGTACCCATCTTGCACAAACCTTTGAAACCCAAGCCTGTCATTTCACGAGCACGCTCAATGTTGTGATCAGACGTGGATGGGTGCTTTAATAGAACCAGAGTGCAGATGATTTTTTATTCATCCTCATAAATTAGATATAGGTGAAATCAACATGTGCTTGAAGGATGTTTGCTGCTGTTGTTGTTAAGCACCACTGAGTTAGTTCCGACTCACAATGACCCTGTATAGGGTTTCCAAAGAATGGCTGGTGAGTTTGAACAACCAACCTTAAGGTTCAAACCAACCTTGTGGTTGAGAGCTACAGCGCCACAGTTAGTGTGACTAATATTAATAGTATGAGGGGCTCCAAAAAGTTCATGGAAAGATTGAGTCAGTTCAAACTTACGTGACCCTGTACAGGGTTTCTGAGGCTGTAAATCTTTATAGGAGCACAAAGACTCATCTTTCTCCTGTGGAGCAGCTGGAAGATTCAAACTGCTGACCTTATGCTTAGCAGCCTGATTTATAACCACAACCCACTATGCTACCAGGGCTATTTACATTTTAATGCATTTAAATCAAATTTCAGCATTTACCTTACTGTATCATTAGATCTTTTCACCATGAACCAATTTAATGAGCAGTTACTATTCATGCTGAGCATTTACAGATGCAAAGCACATGTGTTTACTCAAGAAATATTAAGCACCTAACATATCCCAGAAATTATGGTGGTAGTTGTTGTTAAGTGCCGTCAAGGAGGTTCTGACTCATAGTGACTCTGATAGTTTCCAAGGAGTGGCTGGTGAGTTTGAACGATTGACTTCATGGTTCAAATTGATCTTGCAGTTCAGTGATTTACCCAACAGTGCCACACCAGAGGCTATGGTAGGGGTTGGGTATACAAAGTAAACAAAACAGATAGTATCGCTGGGCTCATGAAACTTATAGTCCAGCGGTCTAACAGGGAAAAACTGTAATACAAATATCCACATGAAAGTACTATGAAGAATCAAAACAACAATGAGATATCATCTCACACCAGCAATAGCAGTGAAGTTCAAAAAAGCAGAGGAAAACAAATGCTGGCAAGGATGTAGAGA